TAGAATGAGCCACCCCTTCCTTCTTGTAGGTGTCGTTAGAAGCGACTAACGACTAAGGGAACTTAATATTCGAGGGGTGGGTAGCAGCGTCCCTCCTAAAACATTGTCAAAATCTCCTGCAGTTGCCAACCCACCTGCTTAGCGTGACAACTACTGGAAAAACCCTCAATAAGAGAAAACCTATATTTAGAAGTGAATAGTTAATGGCTAATATGATGATGGTGATGATAATGATAATGACAACCATCCTTTTCATATCAATGTCCTTGAAAATAATAAATGCTCTAATGCTTCTTAAACTCTGATAGAAGTAAATTTAAAAGGCAATGAGCCAAAAGATACATACCTCCCATTTCTACTTCATTTTTCTCAGCCTACAATCAATTTTTATGAAACCTAAACGTCTACCAGCTATACTTAACGATCCACCATGTAAATGGATTGTAAAATTTATATAATGCTATATTCACGACACAACTATAGACATGAACATAAAATTTATGACAAGTATTCGAGCAAAAACGTTAGCTCATAGCACAACAATTTTAACAACTTAAACTTAGGGTGTTTACACGTAAATACACAACTTTTATAGATCCTAAGTGCATGCTAGTCCAGCATTAGGGTATTTTATATATCATTTTAGACTATAATACAACTTCACTATATTTTATATTTCGATTTTTCATAGTATATAACTAGAAATTCGTGTTTTGCAAAAATTACCACCTAACAATTTATGTTCTTATCTTTATATTAAATTATTAGAGTGAATAACAAAATTTACTTTTACATATTTACTACACAAAATATTACTTAAAATAATTAAATTCCACTGTATTAACAATAATAAATTTATGAATGAATTATGTCAGAATTTATTGCTTTAGATTTGCAATTTTAATTAATGATAATTGAATTTATAATTTAATAAATCGATAACTTAATTACTATTGTCGACATACTTATAACTTGACAGCTTCAAAGTACAAGACATACCATAAAAAATATATTCCCTTCAATAATTTATGACTATCGTACGAATACATTACAAAATACAAGAAGATAATTAATAATCTAATATTAACATTTCAAATTATAGTCGTGAAGCATGTTTATTTATTTAAAACTAGCTTTTATATGCTACTTACTACTTTTACTTTTTTACTTCTTCGTAATAGAGATATGTACACTGATTGGAATAAAGTAGCCTATGTTCTTCTCCATTCATCTATCAAATTTCATAGTGACTGGTTAATCCGTTGGCACAAGCCAAGAAGTAACAAATAAACAAGCTCACTTGCACGTTTATAATAAATAAAGATTTTAAATTATTTTTATAGTTCCGTATTATATCCACTGATTTGAAAAGTCGAGAGTAATTTTAAAAACGGTGGTTTTGTGTAATTCAGCAGAGGCAGGGCGGGTGCAGTATCGATTTAAGAGACGTTTATCGCTCCACATCCCTTCTCGGTGCTCACTAACACAAACACACCGTACTGTGTACTTACTCACATGTACTACAGGCAAGAATGGCTCGAGAACTCACTTTGGCGGGATAAAAAATGTTGAAAGGTAAAAATCGGAACCTATTTCATCTAATAATAGATCTTTAAAACTACCTAATTCTTCTTGAATACTAAATGCTATGTTTTGGTAATCGCGCCTTTATTTATGCTAGGAATATTCCTAACCCGACCAATTGAAAATTCTAAACTACAACTTAAGATGAACAAAAAATTATGTTCAAAATTTAATTTGAAAAACTATTTGGAACTCATTGTTATCTATGAACTTACCTAGTATTATTGAAAAATGTAAGTAAACCGATACTAAAAATATCATCATATCAGTCTTTAACTGTCCACTGCTGTACATAAGCCTCCCCCTTGGAGAGTTTTGCAAGTAGTTGCCACGCTTGACAGACGAATTGGCAACCGCAGTCAGGTTTTAGAGATGTTTTAAGTGGAATGCTGCTGCTCATCCCTCGCCCTCCCTTAGTCGGCTTTTACGACACCCACGGAAAAAGAAGGGATGGCCTATTCTATATTGGGCTATACGGCTAAAAATATGGATTACTAAATTCAATTTCTAATGTTTAAAATAATACATTTATGATAGAAAATACATATATATATATATATATATTTAACTTTGCTAAAAAAAAGAAATAAATTAGTAAAGTACTTTGCCAAGTTAGACGTTGTTAGACTCTTCTTATTTCTGGAAATGGTTTAGCATATTCTCAGAACTAAAATATGGTGTTCATAAGTCCTTAGGATTTATTTTATTTTATGATATTCAGTTGTTTTTTTGTTTTTTAAGCCCGTATGCTAACTGTTGGACAAGGTTGATGTTTATGTAAACAAAATTAAAAATCAATTATTTATCACAATAAATTACTAACATGTCAATAAAGCAACAGTTACCTATTAATATAATTTCCATAGATTAAAATAAAAAAACATTTGGAAACACAATGAAACGAAGTGAATACGATTGAATTAGTAATGATTTTCCTGAGTAAGGAAACTATAAATAAATACATTATTATTCAATGACCTGTAAAATAAATGTACAAATTGATTAATGGTAAATTTATTATTGCTTAATTGAAGTGTTGCATTGTTTTAATTCATTCGGCTAGTTAGTATCTATGTATTTGTAATCTATTAATATTTATCATAAGTTGTATCAATTAGAATTAAATTACATCATTATAGTTTTTATACATTAAAAATATCTCTCTGCTCTCTCAAATAAAAAACGTAATAAAAAATTTAAACAAAATTAATAGAATGTACCTATCTATAATATGTATTTAATCTCATTATTTTTAAGTACCTATAGGTATAGAAGTTTAATTAATAAAAAAATATATAAATATTAAACAAGTAATGTATTAAAAAAATTTATTTGTAAAATTTATCGCACGAGACATAAGTCTAATGCAGGCACGAACTGAATTTCGGAACGCATCTGCATAGTTCCCTGCGGTCCAAAGCGACTTTTGACCGGTAGCGTTTCGAGTATGGTTTGCGACTGCGCGAAAACTTGCTAATAGCCACATTGATTTTGCAGATAGAAGCCAGGTCGGAGCAAACCTACCTCTCGTTCCGGGATACTATCACAACCATGCCAAAATGATGCAAATGCTGCCCACTGAAGAATCGCTTTATAGGTTATCAACCCAGTCGCTTGCCGCCGCGCAATGCAAAACGCGCAACTTTTTATTATAGTACTGTTAACAACGGTGTGTTTTACTCGGTACGAGGCCATAGGTTACGGGTAGGTACCTATAACAATAACTATATATTATTATTACATGTTCGTTTCAACTGAAGCTACCGTTCGTACTTTACGCTCAATGACGACGAATTGCAATTGAGAAAGTAAATCGTTATTATATAGCAAAATGGAAATATTACTGTCCTCGGTCGATTGAGTTTCATACGGGAAATAAGAAAATAGAAAGAAGTGGTATTCCCTTTTCCTTAGGTCTATTGTCTTTATTTTATATCCCTTACCTATTAAACGAGTAATTTTCTAAAATGCCCTAAAAGTATACTTTCCAAATTCTTTCACATAACCCATAGTTTACGGGAATGGTAATTGAATTCAATGGGAATATATTCAACACGTAATGAAATAGATACTATGAAACTGTATATGCATTAAAGGCTATTGATTTCTAAACGACATATTCACTGCACGTAACATTTAAACAAACTAAATTAGAGACACCTCCCGCGGGTGTTGTGAACCTCATAAATTTGTAGCAATTTAATTGGATCGTGTTACGTAGCAGATCGTTGGACTTAGAGCCGCGAGCAATATCGGGCGTTATTCGTACGCTTAACTATCCGGCGCGAGTTACGACTAGCCAGCTCGTTTGTCCGACCCGGCGGGTATGTTCTAACGTTCCACCCTACTGGCAAGTTATAGATACATATAGAATACAATAGAAAATATTTATTGGCCTCAAAATAATGTCACAAACAGTAAATACATGACCATAATTATAACAATTAAAAAAATCTACTAAAAGGCTCTTATCTCAGTATTAAACCATCAAACGCGGGCACTTAGTGGGAGATGAGGTTGTTGATAATGGGGATTAGCAGCCCCCTTACTAACAATACCTTGACAGGTCGATCTTCTCGCAGTTCTCTCTGTAAACCATCGTGTTCTAAGAGAATTCATCACAATGGACTAATGATCTGCTTTTTCATTCTCACTTATCATCCTTCACTAGTTTTTGGCCAGCTTATACCGTTAACGCATATATTTTATCATTTAGTTAAAAAGAATAACGGACATATTACCCACTGGTGATAGCACTGCATTCAGATATAATGTAATATATCTTTTTCATAATGTTTACTGTAAGATACACCTATAACCTTTATGGTAAACATTTACAGTCTATAGATCTGCCACCTAAGCAACAAAGGATTTTATCGAGAGAAACGTGACAGCAACCATTTTATTTTTACATGCAATACAAAAATAACGTAAATACGTTTCTCAGTTGTTTAAAGCGGTCTAAATCATTTCTATTGAGAGACTCTAGCAGTCCATATATAGTTAGTCTATATTCAGGTAGTTTAAATAAACATATGTATTACATCTTTCTTTGTTTAGTTACAAATTCCAATAAAGAACTTTTAGATGACAGTGCACTTATAGGTAAGAAATTCCTACGTAGGCAACTACCTACGTTATTTTCTTTGTATGTTCGTTACTTGACTCTTAGTCATAACGATTGAAACAATCAACATGATATTGTTATGTATTCTGTAATTTAGACTTTAAAAGCATTGTAACAGATTAACATTACGGCGATAAACTAAAGCTAATTAAATACAACACCTCCTTAATTCTAATCAATAGAACAAATCAATTAAAATACATGTCTCTCTTCCCTTTTTACCGTACAAACAATACCTATTATTCTATCTATATTTACACATAGTCTATAGTATTACAGTGATGACTAGAGATGGGCAATCCACCTGGGTGGGTTTAAAGTCTGGTGGGTAAAAACCGGGTGTTTTGGGTTTATTGGGTTTAAACCCCATAAACACCCAAATTTTTGGGTGTTTATGATTTTGTACTTCATCATCGTCATCTCAGCCGCAAGACGTCCACTATACTGGACATAGACAATATTATTATGCAGCCTACAGAATAAAAAACTTTTAATTTGATTTTGAGTTTATTAAGAAAGAGATGAAAGTAAAATGTAAAACTACAGTCAATCACTGTCAGATTCAGAGTTATTACAAGCGATGAATTGTATAGGTTCGATAGGCTCTATTTCGTCTAAACTGTTATGTTCATTTACTTGCTCAATGAAAGCTTCTAAGGTATTTTCTTCATTAAACTGAATGTCCTCGCATTCAGCTTTATGTTTAAGATTCCAGTTATAACAAATGAATGAAATTTTTTCAGTTCTTTCAGTTGTAAGTCGATTTCTTTTGTTATTATGTATGTAGCCTTGGATACTAAAGGAACGCTCAGTGGCTGCCGAAGTACAGGGAGCTGATAGAATACGAATCGCTACTTTGCTTAACTCAGTGGAACCACAAATACCTTTCCACCATATTAGGGGCTCAATGCTATCTAATGAGCTCCATACAAATCCTCTGGCCCAAAAGTTTTCTTTAGCTTTATAACACGCCAAATCTGCCATTACATTTGACAAACTTAAGTGTTGGCTTAAATTGTAGATAAACTCCATACCCTTAAGTTCTTCCTCTTGAGTAAGTTCGACTCCTAGAGTCCTGGGGTCTAGAATATATGCTGCAAAATGTATTGGCCTCATTGCCATATTGCATCTTGAAGATACTGATGTTAGAATCTGCTGTTTGCTTTCTTCGCTCAATGTCGAAATCTCATTTAATGCAAAACGTATCTTAGCTTGTACATCTCTAAATGTAATGTATGTGCGATGCAAACGATTCTGGTCGCTCTCTAAGTAAAATATGCTTTCAGTGACTGGTTCCAAAATACTTATACATTCCCCTGTCTTCGTCCAGAAATCATCACTTAGAATTAAATCTTTAATATCTCTTGAAATTACCACATCTTCTCTAACTGTTAATATTTGCAAAGCTATCTTATTTGCTTTCAAACTTTTTAACGAAGTAACATGACTTCCCCATCTTGTAGCACAAGGCAATTTTAGTGTTTGTGTAGAATCTTCACCCTGCCTTGATTTTATCAACAAGGAACTTAATCGTTGACTCCTTTTAACAGTTTTTATTATATTTATGGCTTGCATAATAAACACAGTTACTTCTTGTATCTTTACAATATCTTGGCACAACAAGTTAAGGATATGTGCACAGCAACCGAGAGGAACAACATGTGGATATTTGAGTTTTGTTAATTCGAATGCCTTTTGTATATTTCTAGCGTTATCGCCAATAAGTACAAGAAACTTATTTGCTCCATACACTTTCATTACTTTTTCAACTTCTTGGCTAAGGTATTCACTAGTGTGAGGATTACTTTCTGTATTCAAACTTTTAACGTATGCAGGTTGAGGTTTTGATATAAGAAAGTTTATTATTCCTTCATTTCTTAAATTAGACCAGCCATCGCACTGAAGGTGTAAGTAACTACAAGCATTTAGTTCCTCATTTAACTCAAAACGCATTTCTCTATATATTTTATCTAAGTATTTTGTCGCTAAAGCTTTACGTGAAGGTATTTTAAATTTTGGTTGCAATTTTTCGAAAAATTGTATCCATAAAGGATGTTGCACCATCGATAATGGCGTCCCTGTTACAAATATAGCTCTCGCTAATTCTGTTTTTATATGATCATCGGTGTCTTGAAACTCAGCATTTATTGTAGTGTTAGCAGACGACGAGGGGCTTATAAAAGAATCATTTGTCTCTATCTCTGACAGTCCAGACATTTTGGTTTTGGACGAGCTATCTTTTATAAGTTTCATAGAGTCTTTTAATGTTTCTGGAGATTTTGGACAAGTGATAAGATGTTGAAGCATTTTGGCAGCATTACTGAATTTGTAGACCTTATTACAAAGCTTGCAAGAAACAGACTTGTTTGGTAAAGTACGGTAGTGCTCCCATATGCGTAAATCTTTAGGTCTCCCCATTGAACCTAAAAAAATGAACGATGATTAGTTGGTCTGACGAAAATTCAACAATAGAGTGCCTATTTTTTTACAATGATTATTTCTTGTTATTTACAATAAATTTATTAAAAAAATAATAAAATAAATACAAAAAACCTTTGTAAAATTACATCTCCTCGGAGGATTAAACGCAGACGCTAGTTTATTATCGTATTGTTCTGTATTTTTCTCAGCAACTTCTTTAATTCGATTAGGTACTTACGCATATTATGTTAAAAATAAATATCTAGTACACATCTTAGGCTATCCACCATTATTATCCAATGACGACTCTCAGCTAACTATGCACTATCATCCAAAATAAACGTGTATGGAAAATTTTATCCCAGTCGGTTGAGGATTGAGGATAATTGCATCAACATACGAACATACCTACATACTTTTATTTACATAACGCAAGCTAAATAAAAGCTTGTAATAATACATCTAATTTTAAGTTAAAATTGTTAAGTGATCATGATATAATTGTATCATTCAAAAATCCACTTACCTTTAATTATTTCTTGTTAAGTATAAATATTATTTCAAATCTGCTCCCTTAATATGCACTTTTTTACTGCTTTTCCTACCTAACACGTTACCAGGAAGTCACGTTACCAGAGTCAGAGTAATAGTGAACACGTTTGACAGTGATTGTCGTCGCCTCATATTCAGCGTCGACGAATAGGGAATCCCCAGTCATAATGTATTGCATGCGTGGCGGTCTTACTTCAAATCCATAAACAAAGAGATAATTACAGAACTCGATACTAGATGGCGCTGTTTTTGTTTGAAGAAAGTTTGCGGGCTAAAATACATAGAATTTCATCAATGACTTCCACAAAGAACAACATTTCTGTTTTTTCTAAGTCCGTATCTCTTCCGTATATTTCATAAGATATAAGCTTGGGCTACATTGTTATGCAACGTGATTTTGTCGCTGTCTTGCTAGCAGGGTTGACAGATATACGATTTAAATCGTACTCATACTATTATTTGTCTATTTTTTAATGTACGATCGTAAAGATTATGATCGTAATTCGCACAAAAACATACGACTTTTTGGTTACCTGGCAACATTTTTATTATGAAACGAACATGCTCACATCATCAGTCACATGCAACAATTTATTGGGGATTTCCCCTTCACATCTGGCAGTCCTGCTTGCTAGAATATAGGTAAGTCAGCCACAGTTACTGACGATCGATATTTAAAGGGTATTGTTTTTGTGCTAAATATTTCATAAAAACGTTATTTAATACTTTGTGGATTATTAATTTAGTTGATAATCACTGGAAGTAAAATGGATGCTAATTTGAGAGATCAAGATCTTCGTATAAAACAGTTAATAAAAGAAAATCTACGTAAGTACTCTTTTTATACCTAGGTAGGTAAGGTATAATAAACACAAAAGGTACTTAGATCGCGTGTGTTCGAAGCATTTATTCTAATAAATTTAATTTAAAATTGTAGAAAGAAAAAAATGTCTGCCAAGCCGTAGCCGAAGCCGATCTCCAAATATATTTGGCGATAGTGAGACCCAGTGTCCAGATGATTTACCCAGCGTCGTCGCAACAAAGAAAAAAACGAGGATAAAGTAAAAGAAAATTTACTGAAAGAAGAAACAAACTGTTCTAAATGCTTAATTTATGGAGAAGAGGATAAAAGAAATGAGTATTTCGGACTGTTAGTGGCTCAAGAATTTAAATATATACGGCCATGTGTGCGAACGAGGTGTTATGAAGAAATTTTAAAGTATCTACGGGAAGCAAAAGGCCAACATGTTGATCAACTGCAACATGAAAACACTGAAAATTAATTACTTTCATTTTATTATATATAGATTTTTAAAATTTCCTGAAATATTATTAGTTAACGTTTTATTTAATATTGTAGAATTGATCAATACAATTTATAAAAATAATTTATTGGTATTACTTACATATTTTCAAAAAAATACGTAAAAACCTATTTTTTTGGGTGATTATGGGAGTTTATGGGTGTTTATTGGGTTTTTACCAAAGCACCGGGTTTAAACCCGGTGCTTTGCCCATCTGTAGTGATGACACGTTAACTCTTCCGTGACAAATTTATTAGCTATACAATTTTCAATCGCGTAGCTGTGTACTTGCTTTTATTAATACCTACATATCTTATATCTAATACTCGTGTTTGACAACACTTTCACGCGAAACCGACCACAGACAAAAGCTCGTATATTGAACTAACGTTGTCGATGACACTGAATGCACTGGTGAAACTACAAAAAAAACTTATTTCCATTGAATTAAAATTTACTATAGCAAGTCATATCAACACACGTAAACACTCCCTTTGAATTCACACGGCCATATTAATAGGACCTCTTGCATAATGCTTTGATTCTCCCAATTCGTCTGTTAAACAACCCTTGAGAAGGGCAAGGGAGGTTTTGTTCGTTGGTTTCAGGCAGGTGGATGTGTGTGTAGGGTGAAGTGTAGTACAGGTAGGGTTATAAATGTGTGAGAGTTTGGTGCACCGCCTAATATCTGCGTAGCTATAGAACAGGGGTATACTCGTTTAGAAAAACATTAATAAACCACAAAATAAATTACCTAAATAATGTAACTTAAATTTTTTATGTGATTTGTTTTTTAATTTTCCGTAATTTTTATATGTAGCTACAAGAATTTTTTATCAGCTGTCGATTCATTTAATTATATTACCAGCTTATTGCCACTTCAGCTTGTTGATTCTTCGAAACGTTTTACTTTTCGCTCTATTTTTAAACATTTTTTTATATATAATTTCCGGTAACCTATTTTATGAAAAATAAGTCTCACCTTACAAACCAGAGTAGCATTTAATATCCTACCGCTGGACGATGACTGATTATTAATTTATGTAAAAATTATGAACAAGTGCAAGCAATATAACATTAGAAAAATATTCTATATAATAATTATTTTACCGGCTATTACTTGTTTCGAACTTAATGGAGTTCTTATTCATAAGAGCTCCATTGAGTCCGCTCCATCGCTCCTACTAATTACGAAATCAATCTAGCAACCACGTAGTTAATAAGTGAGTAAAGCGATGCAAAATTATAGATAATTTAGTATGACTTAGGAGAGTTATTATTTGACAAAATACGTAACATATTTTATATGAAACCAGAGCCTCAATCTGTGGACTTCAGCCCTTAACTAGTAAGTACTAAAATGTTCTCTATTTATAAATATTAATTATTATAAAAGTGAATACAAATGCTAGTACCTATGCACTTCATAATTTTGTAAAATATACCTACTGACTACGAAGAGAATTAATAATATTATATTCCCAATGTGATTATTACCCCAAAACACTTTTCGTTGATATTATACAAAGCGAGGGTCCGTTCATCGAACGAGGTTCCAACTCGGAAACGAAACGTCGTATTGTAATCCAACTTCAACTCTACTATCGCCACTTTTGCCTCCCAAATATTTCCAATTCGTTTTTACTACTAAACGTCGTAACATACCTTTTCCGCTTTTCTACTTACGTCCTTTTACTTTCAGCTTAATATGAAATTTCTTCACATGTTACCAAAAGAGCGTAAGTCATATTTTCACCAGAGCTCTTACGGCTTTTTACCACTGTGCGTATACAGTCTTATCTCGCCTGTAGCAAGGTGATTTACTATAATTAGAAAGATAGCGGTAGATGCCTTTTGTTATAATTTTCCAGGCTGGCTCACGAGCGTTTTCCCGCGCAAACTCATGAAAATGGCGGCCATTTTGTAATGTGCCTTGTTTTTTGATAAGGGTATTAAAATAATGGCGTATTCGGACGGTTCTTTACTTTACTATGGCGCACTTGTGTAGGTGTTTATGTTTGTATAAGTACGTGAGCTTACATTTTAAATGCAAATTGGAAGAGTTGCTAATGAAATTTAATAATATGAAACTTAACAATATCTACCTATCCTTCGTTAGCTTTGTAATATCTGTTCATTTAATTAATTTCATCGTATTATCGAGTTTTTCACAGTCTGAGTTTTAGTACGTTTTTGTTTTCTACTGATTAATTATTAAGTAACTATACTTCACAAAAAATGTAATTAGGTATACAAAATTAAATAGAAATTAGTTAATTTTGTATACTACCGCTATTAGTGACATACTGAATTCATATTTCTATATTTTTTATTATTAATCATATTAAATAATGAACGATACAATAAAATAATGGAATGTAATAGAAATGTAGCATTTTAAACATTTTTAATACACTTTTTAAGAGTACTTCTAATTAGTAATTTAAAAAAAATTGGCAAAAAATATCGTAGAAAAATATTATATAATAAAATATGGGTATTATGTATAGATTAAGAACTATAGAGCGTACACTTATAATAAAAAAACTTCCATGCACATTATAGTATTTCGTCTTATTCTTCAATATGACTAAATATTGATATTTATCTATAACTAACAATGAATGAATTGCAATGCCTTTCAAGTCTCAATGAAACTGAGAACTTTCGACACTTTCCACTACACCAGTCATAACATTAATATATTTTTATCCGAGCAATTTATAATACTAAATATATATGTATGTGACATAATTTTCCTAATTATGTAGGTTTTTGGAAATAAATAAATTTTCCTGTAGCATATTCCAGTTTAAACTTGCTAAGTTCGCGAACGACTTCTACAATAATCCTAGATTATGTAAAAATACTATTCTTTTTTCTAGTTATCTCCAGGTTTCTTAATAACGTCTTTATTCAATCTTCCTGTGTTTAGATTTTCTAACATAAATTCATCGTCATGTTCATATCAGCCGTTAACTGCCCATTGCTGAACATATCCCTATAAGGTGGAGGGGAGATTGTCAGTAGTTGCAGTACTTAGCAGGTGGGTTGGCAACTGGCTATGCTTGTGGTCATGTTGTAAGAGGGACGCTGCTGCCCATCCCTCGAGCATAAAGTCCCCTTAGTTGCCTCTTACGACACCCCTAAAAAAGGAAGGGGTGAACGAGCCCCTCCTTTCTGTGGGTCGATCTGATGGAGTATATCGCTAGCAGTGGGGTTTCTAATCCCCATTGGTAACAATCGTTTATCCCCCCATGCAATATATAATGTATGTACCACTAAAAGCTCTCCACAAGAATAGATTTAAAATGTGTTCTACTACAATTGTGTACAGACCATTCTGACTGGGGGAAAGGGATTGTTAGTAATAAAGACTGAGAATCCCATTGCTAGCAATATATCCAACCAGGTCGACCTCCTCGCGGTTCTCCCTGGAAACTATCATGACTAATTCCTGATGAATTCATCATGATGGGCTAACTGGCCTGTTTTCATTCTCATCTTTCACCCTTCACTGGTGCTCCGCCAGCGTATCCCGCTAGCGTAGGCGAGGTTACCATACCATTTTCACCCTTAAAAAAAAGACCATTCTGACTAGAAGATTGTATTTACGAAACATATCATATCAAAGTATATAATATAAATTGTCAGTTTACCTTCCCCACAGTTTTCTCTGAGAACGACCATGATTAATTCTTAGTGAATTCGCTACGATGTGTCAACTGAAGTCACTTCATAATCATCATTTTATCCTCCAAAAGTCATCTTTCCATCATTTCAGCCGTTATCTTTCTACTGCTAAACATAGCCCTCCCCCAT